GGGGAATATTGTTCATAAAATTAATCAGGAGGAGAGTCTTAGAAATTGCATAGTTAAGGCCAGTCGCGGTGGCTTACACCTCTAATCCTAGCACTCTGGGAGGCTGAGGCGGGCGGATTGCTCGAGGTCAGGAGTTCGAAACCAGCCTGAGCAAGAGCGAGACCCCCATCTCTACTATAAATAGAAAAAAATTAATTGTCCAACTAATATATATAGAAAAAATTAGCCAGGCATGGTGGCGCGTGCCTGTAGTCCCAGCTACTCGGGAGGCTGAGGCAGGAGGATTGCTTGAGCCCAGGAGTTTGAGGTTGCTGTGAGCTAGGCTGACGCCACGGCACTCACTCTAGCCTGGGCAACAAAGCGAGACTCTGTCTCAAAAAAAAAAAGAAATTGCATAGTTAAGTATATTTGGTCTTTTCTTGTGTGTTTGTTTTGCAGTTATTAAGTGAACACATGAAGAAAATCACAATCCTTTAAAGTACCCTGAGAAATTCCTTGGATTATAATGTCATAAATGGATGTTCATTCATTCAACAAACATTTATGGGGTGTCCCGTGTAAGCACTGCCTTGTTCTAGGTCCTAGAAATGTGGCGTTCATGTCGCCTTCTGTCCCAGAGCTTGTATTGTAGTGGGTGAGGCAGACAGCGGCCTGGTAAGCAAACGCGCGCACACACATTCAGAGGGCGGGGGTGGTAACCGCGAGTCACTTGGGAGCAGCGTTGGAGCAGGCGATCAGGGTAGGGCTTCCTGAAGAGGTGCCGCGGAAAGTGAGACCTACAGGAGGGGAAGCCAGCCCCAGAAAGGTCCACCCAAGGAGCATCCCAGGATAAGGGCCTCAAAAATATAGAGTCCCTGAGTTGAGAAAGAGCCTGGCATGTTCAGAGAACAGAGGAGGCTGTGAGTGTGGGGTAGGGAGAGAAGTGGGGAATGGGAAGGGCTGGCGGGGGCGTTCCCAGGGCAGGACACGGGCTGGGACCCTGCATGCCCTTGTGTGCCTACGAGATTCAGATGTCCTTCTAAGGAGAGCAGCAGGACAAGGGCTGGGACCCTGCATGCCCTTGTGTGCCTACGAGGTTCAGATATCCTTCTAAGGAGAGCAGCAGGACAAGGGCTGGGACCCTGCATGCCCTTGTGTGCCTACGAGGTTCAGATGTCCTTCTAAGGAGAGCAGCAGGACAAGGGCTGGGACCGTGCATGCCCTTGTGTGCCTACGAGATTCAGATGTCCTTCTAAGGAGAGCAGGCAGTCCCTGTGGGATTTTATGCAGGGAAATCCTGTGTTTCACGTTTTCCTAAGAGGACTCTGGCTGTGCTGCAGAGAAGGGAGCGTCGAGGCAGGAGGGGAGACCAGGCGTCGGGATGACGGGGGATGGTGTGTGGGGCGGCTCTGGAGATGGAGTTGGGGACGGACCCAGGAAGTGTCTGAGTGGGGAGTAGACAGCATTGCGGATGGGCTTTAGGATGGGAAGGGCGTGGACAAAAAATGTATCTTAGCGCGGTATAAAAACGAGATGATGTGGAAATAGTTATTTAGAGCATCCGAGTTCCATTTTGTTCTATACCCTGCGTTAAAAGTTATTGCACATATTCATTATTATAGGGAAACTGAGCCTTTTCAAAGCAATGCAATTCGGACCCACGTAAAGCATGCTGCCTCTTACACTTGGCTGCAATGAATGCAAAGGAATTAACTGAGAAGATGGTGGTGAAACTAAACCAGTCATTTCTGATAAAAGCATGACCTAAACTAAAGCAGGTAGTTTTGCTAATAGTAATTTCTTTTTTTTTTTTTCTTAACAGAGGGCTCTGGTTTCCTCTTGTAACACACAAAAATCAAGGAATAGTCCTACTGCATTTTTTGGATCATATTTAATATTTTTGTATCTTTCTTCTTCTGAGACATTCTTAGATACGATAGGCAAATTTTAGAAGGTGTTAACCTCCCAAATGATGCACAAGTCAAAAGATACTGGAGTCTGCTTTGGTCCTTGCCCTGTTACCAGCTGACCCCATCTTCCTTCTCATTTCTTTTATTTACTTATTTACTTATTTATTTTTTTTGAGACTGTCTCTGTTGCCCAGGCTAGAGTGCCTTGGCGTCAGCCTAGCTTACAGCAACCTCAAACTCCTGGGTTCAAGCGATCCTTTAGTTGGTCAATTAATCTTTTTCCTTTTTTTTTTTTTTTTTTTTTTTTTTTAGTAGAGATGGGGTTTCACTCTTGCTCAGGCTGGTTTTGAACTCCTGACCTTGAGCGATCCTCCCGCCTCGGCCTCCCAGAGTGCTAGGATTACAGGCGTGAGCCACGGCGCCCGGCCCCTTTTCATTTTTTTAAAAATCATACCAGGTAACTTTGAGGTCCGTGTGGCCAACCTGGCAACTCAGCCAGAGAGCCGCCTCCGAGCCCCTCTTCCTGCACTGCAGCCGTGGAGAGAGAAGGACACAGGAGAGTCTGAGGGGTCCGTGGCGGAGCTGTGAGGCCCCTCACGGGGAGGGCAGAGCTGGTCAGGGAACACTCTGAATCCCACCGCTGCTGCGGCTCAGCCCCAGCACTAGGTCTGTTTTTACACATTAGGTTTTAGAATGACATTTTGTTTGAATAAAGGGTAGGACAGGTTCTTTTTGTTCAAGTTTTAAATATACTGTTGTAGGCACTTGTAAGCTTGCCCAGTGAGATGGCCTCAGCCCACATAAAATTCTGTCATGTTTTAAATTATTATTATTATTATCATTTTAGAGGTGTCTCCCTCTGTTGCCCAGGCTGGAGTACAGGGGTGCAATCATAGCTCTGCAGCATCGACCTCCTGGGCTCGGGCGTTCCTCCCACCTCAGCCTCCCAAGTAGCTGGGACTACAGACGTGCACTGCCACACCTGTGTAATATTTTTTGCAGAGACAGGGTCTCACTGTGTTACCCAGGCTGGTCTCAAACTCCTGTCCTCAAGCAGTCGTCCTGCTTCTGCCTCCTAAAGAGCTGGGATTACAGGTGCGAGCCACCACATCTGGCCCCAATTCTGGTTTTTTTTTTTTTTTTTTTTTTGAGTCACCAATGTGAACTGAACTTCACCCGCCAGTGAGTGGCACTCACAGCCTCAATAGCGGCCCCAGATTCCATGGGTGGCCTCCACCTGCTGCGAGCCTGCCGAGGGAGGGACTCCTCAGAGGGCCTCTTGTTAGGGTGCTTATGTCCCAGAGGCCCCGGAGGTTTCTGGGTTCCACGTTGGGTCAGTTCCCAGTTCCTGGCTTCTGCTGAATTTTATCTCCTCTGGCCTCCCTTTCTGGATTTGGGTTCTGCCCCCTCCCACGGGCCTCGGGACAGTACCTTCCTCTTGTCCATCTTGAAGAGAGCGCAGACACGGCCGAGCTGGCTGGAGCCCACGTGGTGCAAGGGGATGGGGGGCGCTGGACTGAGCTGCGCCTGGGGAGGGACTGGGGCTTCCACCCCGGACAGTGAATTCCCACTGCTTCGTCCTGCTGGACTTCACCCCACGCGCGGTGGTCCTCATTCCACCCACCAAACCACTTCCCATCCTTTCCCAGAGGGCCTCTGCACCCCTCCTGCAAACCAGGGGTGGAGGCTGGACAAGCTCCAGGTGTCCCGGCAGTGAGGCGGCGGGTCCCACCCCAGAGCGGCCAGGCGCCTCCTGGGGAGGGTGCTGGTAGCTGATTAAACGAGGCGAGAAGGCCCACTTAAGAAACGAAAAAGGGGAGATTGCGTAGGTCACGTGGGCAAGAATAGAAGCTCACGATACTCTACTCTGTTGAGAGTTTGTACCCTCTTTCTGTAGGACCTCCTTTCAAATGAAATCTTACAGGAGCCCAAAGCATAAAACAGGTGGCACTCAGGTGTCAGGAGCTGGCAGCCTCTCCGGCCAACAAGCCCCGCCCCCGCAATCCCCAAGGATATTCGAGGGATCCTTGGAGCGTAACTTGAAAATCACCACACTGTGGTGTAAAGGTTTCAGCAATGAAGACAGATGTTTGCATCACAGGTTGACACCTCCTCAGGAATCACTGTCTGTCACCTTTGATCTGGGTCCTCAGCCTCTCCTGCCTCCATTGGGCCTTTTAGTGTGCACAGATGGCAGGAGTCTCGGAATGATCTGCCACCTTCTGCCCCTCCCAGGCCGTCATCCCCACGGCCACCTTCCTTAAAGTTCTTCCAGGGCTCACCGTCCTCATAGCATGAAGGGCTTGGGCACTCATCTTCTTCCTCGTGTTGTCGCTACACACTTGTCCCTTTCTCTGCTTTGCCCCAGAAAACACCTGCTTACCGGCCCTGCCCCCAGCCACCCTGCTCACTCCTGCCCCCTAGTGCTGGATTCAAACTGCACCTCCTCGGTGAAACCTTTCCGCGTCCTACGCTTCCACCCCATCCTCACCCCAGGTGGTGGTATTATCCCACCTGCTCCACTCCCCACCCCCAATTTGTTCAGTCTTTTCTTGGGCACCTGTCCCACAGCACTGTGACCCGTGACCTACCTGTCTGTCTCCTCCACTTAGATAGAAACTCTTCAAGGGCAGAGGTGTTTAGGGGAGAGAGCGGTGCACTCACTCTGCCTGCGGCCCCCAGCCCCCGGCAGATGCCTGACACGTAAAGGCACTCCACGTTTGAATGAATGAATGAATCATCAACCTACCACGAGTGCATTTGCTGAGATGTGAATGGCAGTTATTACATAAATCAGCTGCAAGTTAATAAAAAACAGGAATCATTTTTCAAAGCCTTGTTGTTGAAAGACTTTCAGTACCCTATTTAAATGAGCGTTCAGGTGGTAGAGGAAGGTTTCATTTGTCGAGGCAATGGACACGTGGACATCTTTCCACCCGAGTGGAATCAGCTGTGGCTATAACCGCCTTCCGTGTTCAGAGTTGGTTGTATTCATAATATACGAGGGGAGGGAGGTGGTCGTGGGAGGGGCGTATATGCGTGAGGGTGTGTGTATGACAAATGACTGGGTCTTTTAATGAACCGCTCACTTGAAAAATCATCTTTCTGCAGGTGATGTGTCACCAATCAGTATGTCTCCCATCAGTCAGTCTCAGTTTATTCCACTTGGGGAAATCCTTTGCTTGGCCATCTCAGCAATGAACTCGGCGAGAAAACCTGTCACCCAAGAAGCACTCATGGAGCACCTGACAACGTGTTTCCCAGGTAAGGGGGAGAAAGCATAGCACTTTCCAAATGCAGGTGTGCTCTGGCGGCTCTAGGACTTCAAGTGGACTGTCCTTCCCATGTTTAAATATAGTAGGAAAAAATACTTCACCAAAACTGGCCAGAAATTTTTCTTTCTTCTGTAATTAAAAATCAAGGCACCTGTGTTATATCAAAAATAATTTAACTGCTTTAACTGTAATAGTTTTTTAATTGGCACCGAGAGAAAGAAATTAAATCAGAATCCATAAAGAATCTGGCAGAGGATGACCAGATTGCATTTGATTTTTGCAGTCCCACCTTCTTTAAGTACGTGAACGTGAGAGTTCAAAGGGTTGGCCAGAAACAACTGAAAATTTCAGTCGTATATGATTAAACTACAGAAAAAAATAATCGTATTTTGCATGTTTGTGTCGTGGCTTGATGAGTTTGAAGAAAATAATGTTGGATAAATTAGTTTTGATTTCATTTTTAAAAATAAATATTTGTTTTTTTCTTAAATACTATAAAAAGAAGGTAACAGCCCAGCTGCTTCGTGGATGACAGTTGAGGTACCCAGTGCTCAAAGGTGTTGGGGATAGTGACGGGCTAGAGAACGCAGGCCTGTGTCACCAGAGGCAGCCCACCCCTCAGCTCCAGGATTTTGTCACCCCAAGCCCAAATGTAGAGTCTGCCAGAGTTGCCAAATCTCATTTTTCAAGAGAATCTGAAAATTAAGTTTTATGTCAAATCTCTAGATCCTCTTAAATATTGGCGTGTGTGTGTGTGTGTGTGTGTGTGTGTGTGTGTGTGTGTACACTATAACATGTGCATGCCAGCAGCATGCAGGGCAAGCACATTATTGGGTCACCAGTTTGCCAACTTGATGTGGACTCAACCTATTCCTAGATTGAAATACAGAGTATATTAAAAACAAATGCTGGCCGGGCACTGTGGCTCACGCCTGTAATCCTAGCTCTTGGGAGGCCGAGGCGGGCGGATTGCTCAAGGTCAGGAGTCAGAGAGATAATCAAAAAAACAACAGACACTGAGCAGTGAACCCGTCTCTACTATAAATAGAAAGAAATTAATTGACCCGATATATATATATAAAAAATTGCAAGGCACATAAGAGTGCCATGCTAATGGATAAGTACCCAGCATACTATGGGAGCAGAGGCAGGAAGAGAACGCATTAGAGCCAGAGAATAATATAGAGGATTATAGATAGCTAAAAGGATGACGCAGAGCAAACATAACACAAATCTAGCTGGAGAAAGTATCTGTCATCAAATAAAACTAAAACAAAACAAATGACTTAATCTGATACACCATAATGATGACAAATAAGAAAAAAAAAAAATTAAAAAAAAAACAAAAAACTAAATGTAACAGAATTTAAAAATAAAAAAAAATAAAAAAAACAAATGCTTGATATATTTTTCATTCAACTTAAAAGAGACCTTAGTGGCTGGGCACCATGGCTCACGCCCGTAGTCCTAGCACTCTGGGAGGCCGAGATGGGAGGATCGCTTGAGCTTAAGAGTTCGATACCAGCCTGAGCAAGAGTGAGACCGCGTCTCTGCCAAAAAGAAAGGAAAAAGAAAAACCAACTGGGTGTGTCGACACACACCTGCAGTCCCAGCTACCCGGGAGGCTGAGGCAGGAGGATCACTTTGAGCCGAGGAGTGGGAAGTTGCAGTGAGCTACAGTGACACCCCCTGGACTCGACCCAGAGGGACAGAAGGCCACTCTGTCTCAACAGAACACCCCTCCTCGCAACTCCCCAGCCCTTGGTATTAAAAAGAAAGAGAGACCTTTGTAAATATAAGCTGTTGGCTGTATCAGTTAACAACAAAAATGCTAGGTAACAAATGGCCACAGAACATGAGACAATAAGCGTTTATTTAGCTCGTGTGTCCGTGGGCTCCCCAGGAGGCAGCTGATCCAGGCAGGGCAAGTAGGGTAGCTCTGCTGCAGCCGTACCCCATCCTCTTTGGAAAGGGGGGCAAGTGGAGGCCTATTTTGTACATGGGGTGGCAGAGGCACAGGAGCTCAAGCCCACTGCACAAGGGCTCTTCAACCCTTTGGCTACACCACACCCACTAACATGGCACCGGCCAAGGCAAACCTGGCCAGACCCAAAGTCAAGGTGAGGGGAAGTGCACCCCGCACCTGAGGGGAGGATGGAAGGACTAATTCGAAGCTCAACAGTGGTCTAATCTACCGTATTGGCTCTCCTCACTTTTTCTTTTGCCCCAAAGAAATTTTATTTTTCTCTCCTAATGGTGCTTTTCTCCTTTTAAAGTTTTCTAATCCGTGTTTTGATGTAATGTATATAATTCAAAAACTCCAACATGAACCTACCCTTGCAACCTGTAAATTATCTTAAATTTTGTATCATCTTGTTATGTGAATAGTCTTCACCGTCTGATTGTTTGTCTCTTTTTGTTAACTTCCAGGCAAACCTTTCCTTTCAGTAGTAAGACAAACAGAATGCCAGGTGAGAGCTCTCTAAGCGGGGGACAGATGCAAACACAATGCTCTCGTGGACGAAGGCCCTTCTTGCAGCCTTCTAAGTGGGTAGCCACTTCCGACATCAAACGACCCAGCAGCTTTTTAAATCCTTATATTTTTAATACAGCTTCGTGAGAGGTCATATGGCTTTTTTGAATTGGTTACATGCCTCCCATTACCGGGCTATAAAATAAAAAAGAGTGGAAAGAACACAGTCAGTATGTGATAGTAAAATGTTCATCCCTGCCAAGCAGCTGATAACAATATCACTAAGTTGGAATACTTTGTAGAGAAATCCATAGGTCATTTGCACTTCGGAGAATAATTGCTTTTCTAGCTTTTATGGGAAGTTAACTTAAATCCCAAGGGTTTTCAGATGGACTGAGAGGGGCTAATTAAACCGTTTTCTTTGTGGTACTGATGACTTTTTGGCCAGCCCAGGAGTTTGCGAGGACACGGCACAAACCTGAGTCTAGGGCAGGGGTTTGCAAACTATGGCCTGCAGGCCTAGTGTGGCCCACCCCCATCTTTGTAAATAAAGTTTTATTGGAACACAGCCATGCCTGTTTGTTTATATACCACCTTTGGCTCTTTATGCTACAGTGGCAAAGAGTACAATGGAGATCATATGGCTCACTAAGCCTAAACTATTTACTGTCTGGCTCTTTACAGAAAAAGTTTGTGGACCTCTGGTCAAGGGCATAGTGGTAATTATTAAAAATTTTGTTCAGCAGTGGCTCCAGATTTTAAATTGGTATTTCATAAAAAATGAGGTTTTATTTCTTGCCTTCCTTCTTTCTTATCTCTCTCCCTTTTTTCTTTTCTTTCCTTCCTTTGATTTCTTGCCTTTCTTTTGCTATCACTTAAGCTACAGCAGAACGAAACACTTCAGAAAATGATAATAGTAAAACTCTAGAAGGATTTAAATGTCATTTATATTTTTTGTTTTTTTAAAGGTAAGAGTAAATTATTTTGTTCTTTTATGTCTTACAATTTGAAAATAAAGTTTTGAAGTCTAAACATTATTAAAACATTTGAATTCTCATACATAATACATATTTTATAGATAAAAGGGAATAGACTAGAACTTGGCCTCTGTATATGTTTTGGACATCCATATACTAAAGAAAGTTTTTAGTCTTTGAGTAAAAATGTCTGATATGCTAAAACTTAAACCTTTTCATCACTTTTCTATGTGTGTTGAATTTTTGAAAACCAACTCAACAATTTTTATATACCAGTTACCGTTACAGAATCAAGTGGGTGTGTATGTCACCTCACAGTCATAAAGTCTTTCTCTTGAGAATTCCTGGCTATTTTTAATGCCTTTATTTCCCACTCTCGTAGTTTTGGAAGGATTGGGGGAGCCTCAGCTTCTCAGCTCACCCAGTTCTGGGGTGCTGCACCCTGTCCTTTGAAGGTAGCGGCCCAAAGTTGAGACGAACAAATAGCTAGTGTTTACTGAGCGCTCAGTGTGCCAGGCACTGTTCCCCACACACTCAGCTCAGCCGCAGCAGCCCCAGAGGGTAGGAACTTATTTCCCATAAGTTGGTTGACAGTAAACAGAGGCTCAGAGAGGTTACGTTGCCCAAGGTCACACCAGCGGGGTTAGTTTGCTAGGGCTGCTGTAACCCAGTGCAGGTGACGTCAACCACAGGAAGTTATCATCTTACAGCTCTGGAGGCCAGAAGTCCACAATCAAGATGTCCACAGGGGTGGTCGGTCCCTTCTGAGGCTGTGAGGCCATCTCCTTGACTCGTGGCACCGTCTTCCCTGTGTCCCTTCATGTGGTTTTCTCTTTGTCTGCACCTGTGTCTGTGTCCACATTTCCTCTTTTTAGCGAGGACACCCATCCTATTGGAGTAGAGCCCACCCTAATGACCTCTTTTTAACTTGGCCATCTCTGTAAAGACCCTATCTCCAAATAAGGTCATATTTGAAGGTGGTACTTGGGGGTTGGGATTTCAACATACAAAGTGGGGGCATAATTTGACCAGTGACACCCACTAGCAGTGACAGGGCTGGGACTTCAGTCAGCAGTCTGGCCCCGGAACCCACGCTGGGAGTCTCCACATTACACTGCCTTAATCGTGTTAGGTTGAACCATATGAAATTGCCATTTTTGCATTTCAATCTTGCTTAACTGTTGGCAGTTTCATATGATTCAACCTGACCTGTTTCCAAATTATATCATTCAGTTGAATCTTACAAGTATTATCACCCTTTATGTGCCTGGTACTGAGGAATGGAGAATACCCAAGAAATAAAATAAATGGTGTATAGCCTGGGGGATGTATACTTTCTCAAGGATTGCTTGAGCCTACAGGTTTGAGGCTGCAGTGAGCTGTGATCGTGCCCCTGCACTTCAGCCTGAGCAACAGAACAAGACCCCGTCTCTTAAAAAAATTATCTTAATTCTGTTTTTTAAGGTAGCCAAGGCATAAACATACACACAAAACCCTTTGAAACCATATCATTCATTGTACAAAGAAGCTTCTATTGTTTTTTTCCCTGGTGTTTCTAGTCTAACAAATCTGGGAGTTTAGGATCTAGTGATCAAACAAATATAGAGTGTCTGAGCTTCATTCTGGTTAGAAATTAGAGAGACCACTCTATCCTGCTGACTTGTACCAGAAGGGAGAATAGTCTCACCTGAATTTCACCAGTGCTGTGTAGCCAGTTTCAAAACTGAAGGTGATGATTTCAGCATTCGAGGGTACATCATTAACAGTGGCCAAGTCTAGTTGCCCTTTTATATAATTTATAAAATTAAGTTTATTAAGTAAACAAAAATTTAAAAAACAAGTATATAGAGTAGGTCCCATATGGTAGCCTCTCTATATATTAGATCTGTTTTTCAACACCAAGGTAGCTATTTTAACTGTTTCCCTAATTGGTTTTATTGAAAAAGCCTTTTCTGTTAAGTTTATCTCATATGATATAAAACACTTTTCATTCTTCCCTCACTTAAAAATATTATCTTTCATGATTTCATTCAGTAAAGGCCTCACAATAACAGTAACCATCTAACTCTGTCTAGCTTCCATACTGCACTTGCCAGCGTTTATATTTTCTCATTCTATTGGTACCGTGTTTTCCCGAATATAAGACCTACCCATAAAATAAGCCCTAGCAGGATTTCTAAGCATTTGTGCAATATAACCCCTACCCTGAAAATAAGACCTAGTGATGGACGTGGCTACGCAGCGTATCTGCACAACCCATGCATTTCGTTGCTGAGCGGTAAAGAAGACAAGCAGCCCTTCTCATCTGCCCCATCGTGACAGCTACTATCCCAGAGGTGACCGGAAAGTTGCAGGCAGCCCCACCAACAAGGTCGGCTCCCCCTGTCAGGTCCCGGCCATCCTGTGCGTGCTGCAAGCTGAGGCTTTGAGGGGAAAATAACACACCCCCTGAAAATAAGCCCTAGGGTGTCTTCTTGAGGAAAAATAAATATAAGGACCCTGTCTTATTTTGGGGGAAACACGGTAGTAACACAGGAGTTACTAGAGAGAACTAGGATTCACGCTAAATCTAATGAACACCTTGGTCTGAATCCTGCTTACTAGCAGGGGATGATAACTTCGAATCTGGGCAGAATTAATAGGATTCAGCCACATGCTCCCTCTTCCTTCTCACAAGTGTGTTTTTCGGTTTCAGGTGTCCCGACCCCAAGCCAAGAGATTCTGCGGCACACGCTGAACACGCTGGTGCGGGAGAGGAAAATCTACCCGACCCCGGATGGCTACTTCATCGTGACCCCACAGACTTACTTCATAACCCCTTCCCTCATAAGAACTAACAGCAAGTGGTACCATCTGGACGAGAGGATACCCGACAGGTCCCAGTGCACCTCCCCCCAGCCCGGAACCATCACGCCCTCTGCCTCAGGCTGCGTCAGGGAAAGGACATTGCCCAGGAACCACTGCGACTCCTGCCACTGCTGCCGCGAGGACATGCACAGCATGCACGCGTCCACTCTGCAGCGGAAGCCCGCCAAGGACTGCAAGGACCCCTACTGCCCTCCCTCTCTGTGCCAGGTGCCACCCACTGAAAAGAGCAAAAGTACTGTGAACTTTTCCTACAAGACAGAGACCCTCTCAAAACCGAAAGACAGTGAAAAGCAGTCCAAAAAATTCGGGCTCAAGTTATTCCGGCTAAGTTTTAAAAAAGATAAGACCAAACAGCTGGCGAATTTCTCTGCCCAGTTCCCCCCCGAAGAGTGGCCCCTGCGCGACGAGGACACGCCGACCACCATCCCCCGGGAGGTGGAGATGGAGATCATCAGGCGGATCAACCCGGACCTGACCGTGGAAAACGTCATGAGGCACACGGCGCTCATGAAGAAGCTGGAGGAGGAGAAAGCACAGAGGAGTAAAGCCGGGTCCTCGGCCCATCACAGTGGGAGGAGTAAAAAGAGCAGGACTCACCGGAAGTCCCACGGGAAGTCCCGGTCCCACAGCAAGACGCGGGTGTCTAAGGGAGACCCTTCGGACGGCTCGCACCTGGATATCGCGGGGGACAGAGAGTATGACTTCTGCGACCCTCTCACCAGGGCGCCCAGGGAGGGCTGCTTCATCATCGAGCACAAAGGGGACAACTTCATCATGCACAGCAACACGAACGTGATTGAGTCGCATTTCCCCATGACGCCGGAGTGGGACGTGTCCGGCGAGTTGGCCAAAAGGAGGACTGAGATGCCTTTTCCGGAACCTTCCAGGGGAAGCTCCCACTCGAAAGTACACCGAAGCCACAGCCATACCCAGGACCGAAGGTCCCGGAACGAGAGATCCAACAAAGCCAAGGAGAGGTCCAGGTCCATGGATAACTCCAAAGGCCCTCTGGGTGCCTCTTCTCTCGGGACGCCCGAGGACCTTGCCGAAGGCTGCAGCCAGGACGACCAGACCCCCAGCCAGCCCTACATCGACGACAGTACTTTGAGGCCTGCACAGACCGTTGGTCACCAAAGGGCTCACATCTCCTCCACAAGCTACAAAGACGTGTGTATTCCAGAAATAGTCAGTGGCGGCAAGGAACCTTCCAGCGCTTGTAGCCTTTTGGAACCGGGCAAACCACCCGAGAGTCTGCCGTCCTATGGCGAGCTCAGCTCATGCCCAACGAAAACAGGCGCGGACGACTATTTCCAGTGCAACACCTCGAGCGAGACGGTGCTCACGGCACCATCGCCTCTGGGGAAAAATAAGGAGGACCATGACACTCTGACCCTGGCAGAAGGGGTGAAAAAGCTGTCCCCATCTGATAGACAGGCCCCCCACGCCTCCAGGGAGCCTGTAGGGCACAAGGAGGAGTCGCCAAAAGGGCCAGGTGGGGGCCCGGCCGCTTCGGGCGGGGTGGCGGAAGGGACGGCCAACGGACGCCTTGTCCAGCACCACGGCGCCGAGCCCAGCAGCCTGGACAAGAGGAAAGAGATATTCAGCAAAGACACACTGTTCAAACCTCTTCACAGCACCTTGTCTGTAAACAGCTACCACAAATCGAGCCTGTCCCTCCTCCGATCTCACCCGAAGGCGCCTGCTGACACGCTGCCCGGCCGATGCGAGAAACTGGAACCCTCCCTGGGGACCTCGGCGGCACAAGCCGTGCCTGCGTCCCAGCGTCAGCAGGAGTCGGGAGGGACCCAGGAGGCGTCCTTTGACTATTACAACGTCTCCGATGACGACGACTCTGAGGAAGGGGCAAACAAAAACACGGAGGAGGAGAAAAACAGAGATGACGTAGGCACCATGCAGTGGCTCCTCGAGAGGGAAAAGGAAAGAGACTTGCAGAGGAAATTTGAGAAGAACCTCACCCTTCTTGCCCCAAAGGAAACCGACAGCAGCAGCAACCAGAGAGCCACCCATTCGGCCCGGCTCGACAGCATGGACAGCAGCAGCATCACTGTGGACAGTGGATTCAACTCCCCACGGTAGGGAGAGGTGTCTCTGCACGCACGTGCACCTGTCAGGGCCTGGGGCTTTATGCAGATACGCTGAAATGCGTCTGATTGCACAATCTCGGTTCTGTGAATGAGGGCTAAGAGTTGTACGAGTTGTATCGTTAACAGCCTGTTTCCAACTTCTTTTTCAGGAATTGAAAAAAATGTTTCTGCAGCTGTAGAGATCACCAATCTGGACTGGTGGGTTGGCTCCTTCCCTCAAACCTGCATCAGTCCAATCTAACTAAGATATCAACATTTCCCAGTGTTTTTTTCTTCTATGTTCATATTGCCACCATGCTAAGGGAAGGTTTTTTTTTTTTTTTAAGTTGTTCAAAAAATTGTAACTTTCTGAGTGGAATGAAAAGTTAGTGGGGCTAGGGGTTGGGAGTAAATTGATTGATGCTGGGGGTGGGGGTCCCTCTAGTGAGGATGTAATAGCAGATCTTAAAACCTTGGCAGCAGATCTAGAGGCTTGTCGCTGTTTCGATTCCTGTTTTCTGTGCGGCTGCCCTCTTGCGCCCACACCTGCCTTTCACTGTCCTTGTGTCCGCAGAGAAATGGAAACTTGCTCCCCTCAAAGAAAGGTCGGGGCCTGTGCCCTGTTGGATCAAAGCATGTGCCAGCACTTGCATCCTCCTGCGGAACTGGTACGACCCATTCAGGCAATGTAATCACAGTTCCTTCTTTTTAGCAGGTGTTGGTAATTCAGCCGAGGGTTGATGGCTGAGAGTTTGTCTTGCCCCGTGGTCATGGCCAAAGCACTGATGTTTTTCGGGAGTTAAGAAAGAAACGAGAGTCTATGCAACTTCCTTTTTTTCTCCTTAACTCTTCCTTCTCCTCAGAGAGCAACAGGGGACTTCATTCTTTCTCCTTCTAAATCCTACTCCAGATTGGTGACTCTGAGATGCAGAAATACTACTAAGAGATTGATACTCCTTACCAGCTGCGATTCCCAAGATTTTACAGTACTTAAAATTTTAACAAGTTCTCAGCGTTATGTACTGTGTACCTTTATTTTCATTATGAAGAATTCAGATGGATTCTGTTGTGATCACTTCACCGTATCTTTGGATAATTTGTGGTCAGAGTATCCCCAAATCAGAATTGGGAATCAAATTAATCAGTTTATTCCATTTTAGGCCTTTGTTATTTCTCTTATTAAAGAGCTAGTTCTTGAGTATTATAGTAGTATTATTTTGGTCATGGAGCCTTTCTTCCAAGTTAACACGTTGTGTGGAAGTCTGTTGTCGGAATGCAGCCCAGAGGTGGCCCCGGAGAAGGTGCTGGAAACCGACTCCAGGTTCCGCCGCCCCCGCTCGCCCCTGCAGAGCCCTAGGGGCCGCAGGGAGCCGTGCACGCAGCCTAAAAACCACTGTGACTTTTCTACAAAATTGTTTTTGCTAAATAATTTTTTTTGTTGTTGTTGTTGAGACAGAGTCTCAACAGAGTCACTTTGTTGCCTGGGCTAGAGTGCCGTGGTGTCAGCCTAGCTCACAGCAACCTCAAACTCCTGGGCTCAAGCGATTCCTCCTGCTTCAGCCTCCCGAGTAGCTGGGACTACAGGCATGTGCCACCATGCCCGTTTAATTTTTTCTATATATTTTTAGTTGGCCAATTAATTTGTTTCTATTTATGGTAGAGACGGGGGTCTCGCTCATGGTCAGGCTGGTTTCGAACTCCTGACCTCGAGTGATCCGCCTGCCTTGGCTTCCCAGAGTGCTAGGATTACAGGCGTGAGCCACCGCGCCCGGCTGCTAAATAATTTTTTAGCCCAAATCAAATTTTACTTTATCTTCCAATTTATGTTATCTATCCTTGTTTCCCGTATTTTCCTATTCTACTCTTTTTTTTTTTTCCTCTTGAATTCCTGGTAGTACATACCAGATGCAATGCATGTTACAACTGCAGAACCGTCGCTGAGGGAAGGTGTGACTCATTTGCGTGTGTCTTTATGTTCTGCTGTTTCTTATCATGTGTACCCTACTGCCTGCTTGCTTCTTGCACAGCCAGTTGCAGACCCTTCGCTTTGCCCTGTTGGCCCCTGGACTTCCACAGACAGACAGCTGCAGTGCGCCAGAGATAGTTGCTAAGGAGAGGTCAGGAGTCACTTGATGGGTTCTAAAAACCTACCACTGCATGAGACTGAAAGTTTTGCTTGTTTGTTTGTTTGTTTGGGGAGTAAACAAAAATGGTCATGAAATGGTTGAACCAGTATTGCCATAGAATATATTTTATTATCTCTAAATTTGGGGTGCAGAATGTAGAATTTATGGCTGGAATTATTTCTTAAAGTAAGTTTATTTTCATTTTTTTTTTTTAACTATATACTTAAATTCTATGTGATGGTAGAAGTATCCCAAAATCAGAATTGGGAATCAAATTAATCAGTTTATTCTATTTTAGGCCTTTGTTATTTCTTTTACTCTAACATTCTAATCTTCATACATTAGCCCCATGTCTGTCCACTAATATTAGGTAGAATTTTCTCTACGTGAGTACGTGTATGTCCATATACATATACTACCTGTAAATTTCATGCAGTTAGAGAATCTACAGAACAGTTTTTAATTTTATCTCTTTTATATTTAATATCCCTTGATTAGAAGCAAGGTGACACACTTATTTTCTGTACATCTTAATAAGTTCACTAAGTTTCTTACTGATGCGTGAGGATGTTCTGCAAAGGAGAATATTTGACTTCCAGAGTTTTATTCTCTGGCATGAGGAATGTTTCCATCCACTGCTGTGGCAGTCGTAAGCAGGCCACTTATTAGGATCTTTTAGTAAATAATTCACTGAGCAGCTAAGATGCAACCAACAAAAAGAGCCCCAAAAGTGATTTTTCTCCATACTCCAGGGTTTCAGTGCTCCCCAGAAGTTATGTCCAGCTACATTTCCAAAATTCTTTGGTCCCTTTTTTGTGAACTAAAAGTTATTGAGAAGGAAAACGGGTAGAGTCATGAGCTATGCTATGAGATCTAATGTTGCAAATGAAAAGGTCTTGACATGAAAATCCTGCGTTTTCAAATCTGGGGCCAAAACCTGGTTGATAGACACAAAATCAGAGAGCCCAAAGGCTGCAAGGGATGTGTCTGCTTAATGTACTGCATGAACATGTGCTGCAGGGGCCGGGGGCCAAGGAAACACATGCACGCAGAAGGATGGAAACAGAGCTCCTTGGTTCATTTCTCTTGCCTATAAAATCCTGCAATCTTATAGTTAAGGTTGCACTGTATTAACTCTCTTTAAAAAAAAAAAAAGGTTTTAAATTTGAGGAATATTTTCACTGCTAACATTCCATCTCCATTAACTTTTCATCATCATATCCAAAGCCCTCAGTATGAATGTCACAGACTGGCATCATTATTACAACAATAATGAAATATACTCTTTGGAGAAACAGAATACTTTATGTATTTATCACTATTAACGTGTGGGCTTTGCTCACAGATGGTGAGAGGCATCTTACAGTAGAGACAGACCAACTTAGACGATCTATTGCAACAACATGTATTTACAGTGCCTGGCATACAGCAGGTACTTAATAAATGTTAAGCCCATTCCTTAAGAGCTGGTTTAAAAGTAGGTCCTTTGGACCTTAAAATGCACTTTCCTATAGAAAAGATGTCATTAGTAATGTATAAGTTCCCATGCCAACCCGCAGTCCCTATTTAATTCATTATATGCTAGATGTGTAATGATTTGTTGTTCTAGCTTTTTAGTGTACAGATTCTTCACTGATGCTTATTTCTTCTTCACAGTCACCCTGTGAGTAGGTAAATCGCATCCTCACCCTACTCATTTTAGAGATGAGGAAGTCACATACTGTAAAAAGTTACTATGGTGATTAAGAATGAACCTGAAGGTGTGTGTCTCGAGGTCTCTGAGGTCCTCCATGATCATTGCCCTCCCTCCATCCTCCACCTCACCCCATGCCTCAGTGTAGCTCTGAAAAGCCACTGATGAATGTTCTTGGGGAAGGTGTCAGGCAGGTAAGTAGGTAAGTCTAGCACTTTCCGTCCTTTTAGTGAAGACATTTTGGAGTATTTCTGTGTGCCTAGATTTACCATAATTACCAAAGAACTTGACTTATCTCTATGAATGTATTAATATTAACTTCTGGAAGTGCTTTCTACGTTCAAGAAAGGTCTACCTGTCTTTCTGGTAGTCGATCGACAAATTGCCTTTGAAACAATTAACTCTTGGCTTCTTGGTGAGAAGCAAACTCAAGGCCACAAGGGGTTGGGCTGAAATAACCCATAAGAAAGGGCTGCCAAGGTAGAGGCTTCAGATAAAACTGCCGTCAGCTTAGGATGGGAATGAAAGAAGTGGGGCAGCTATGCCCACTGTACTAATTCTGCCTGTTGACTAGCTTTAGCAGGCTTACCTCATTTGTGGAGACCAACTCTCATAGAATGTTTTTCTAAACATTGACTCTACCCTACAGGGTGGATGTTTTGAGAATGTTCATGGCTTTGCAATCTCTGTGTAAGCTGCTGACTTTCTTATGGCCATGTTGAGGACCTTGAATGTGAAACCTATTCAGTCCCCCTCAGTCAGGCCCAGTGATCTTATTTCTGCTGTTGCACCATGCATTTGAAATGCATTTGAAATGTTAGATATCCCAAATCTCCTAAAGCAAACAAACAGTTTCAAATGTTTCTAACTCCAAAAAATTAAAAGAGAAATCAAAACAACAAAGCTTTTAAACACCTGTATTCCATAAGAATTCTTTGAAAAAAAGAAAATATTTCTACCTAAGGTGGGCAGTCATGGATATAAACTTCACAAGTGAATGGAAGAAAAATATAAGGTCCTTTATCTGAAAATATAATGTATTTTAACTAACGTGTAGAAATAGGAAACAGAGGTACAGAGTGTTTAAAACAAATTTTCAGCAGGGCACATCAGAGCGTGGCCTACTCCAAGTCCACCAAAGCCCAACTCCGCTAATCCAGAATGAAAACGAATCATTAGGGTAAAATTGTTGAGTTTATTCAGGAGCAGTTATGCCAGTGAATTTCCAGCCTGAAGTGAAATCATCACTTAGGCATATTTAGGAGTATTCATTGCTCAAACGAATGCGCCAGCCATCACCTCAAATTCGAAGTCATTTCCTTGAATGTGAAAAGAAGGGGGGAGACGTCTCCAGGTGTATTTAGCTGTTTTGAAACCCCTTTATTCACTTAGTGGGCTGATGATGATAACTGTGGAAGCTTCTGGAGCCCACGTTGGAGGCGCATATGTGAGCAATCAGTCGAGATGTGTATTGATAGGACATGATGGCCCAGCAGAGGAGATCCATTAACGGCATCGTTTGCTCTTCCTCTGGGGCTCACTATATATAATTATTTATGTTCACAACAAAACAAAACAAACCCTCTTTACTCTTCCAGTACTCGGGAGAGCCTGGCCTCCAACACGTCAAGCATTGTTGAAAGTAACCGTCGTCAGAACCCCGCGCTGAGCCCGGCCCATGGCGGAGCTGCTCCAGCCTTCAACTTCCGAGCAAGCGCGGACACCCCGGCAAGCGAAGCTGAGAAATTACAGAAACCTTCCAACTGCTTGCAAGCTTCCGTGACTAGTGTGTGATCGTCATTCTGCCTCAGACCTTCTGTCTCATTCGATACAGCAAAGTTTACGACACTGGGACTGATGTTTACATCTTTGGAAAGACAAGCATCTCAACCACAGTTTTTGTGTTTACTTAAACTGTGCTGCTAAGTAGGCTAGGGCAAAAAAGGAAAAAAAAAAAAAAACAAGAAAAAAAAACAACGAAAATCTTTATTTCAAAGTATTGCTTTTCTCATTTTTGGCTCTGTAGCAACTGAATAGCAGTAGGGGTGATATGTATACTTTTGCTTCACTAATTGTATCTGAGCACACATAGGAAAGTCTAGACACTGTAAGTGTAATATGCATTTTCAATGTCATACAGTTGCCAATTCCATTTTAAAATGCCACAGATGCGTGTTGCTCCCAGTCTGTGGCTAAATGATGCCGCAGAACTGATCCTTGACACTTCCAAAAAAAAAAAAAAACCCACACAAAAAACTAAGCCACCACAAAATGTCAGATGCAAGGGTCCACCTTGAGGGAAACCAATGCCAAACTGACTAGAAGGGATCCCAGCCCTTTTGTGTGTGAGTTGTTTATGCACCAGTCATTTTTCACTGTGAGTTTTCGTGACGCTGTTCCGCAAGAGCCCATGGAAGTGTGTGAGAAGGGGTCGCGATGGAAATACTGGGAGTGTTTGCTGTCAGAATTTTGTTTTCAAGTGTAACAGATGCTTGTCTGATTTTTAACCTTCCATAATCACAAACAGGAATATAGGCCTTTGAATCTGAAGTGGACGAAGGAAGGGAATTCCAATTCTGGCTGGGGCACAGCACTAAGTGATGGAAGAGGTAATGTGGACTTTTAAAAGGTGTTAATCAAATATCGAAGGGAGGTAATTTCCTCCTTGTGATACTTAAGGTGATCCTATCTTACTATAATAGATACAATAATTAGTTTGTTTAAAAGCAAAATGTTCTTTGTGATACAAATGAAGAGTATGGCCTGAGGATGTTATTCTTTCTAATGGAAGGACGTAAATCTATTTTATGTAGTTTTAAATAGAATGCCTAAATTAGGCTGTGGGAGATAATTTTTAGTGGTTATAGGAAAGAGCAAATTTAGGGAGAGTTGAACTTCAGGCCTTTTATTCCTGGGAAGATATCTATAGAGAAAACTTTTAAAATAATTTTTGATTAGAAATATACATGTGCCCATGTAATAAAAAACAGAATGTGCTCATTCTGCTATAATCATAATTTGTACTCCCCTAAAATTTATGAAAATAACAATTATGCATACATGAACTATGCCAGAGTAATGTTTACAGATACTTTGTAACCAATTTCAGGAGGCATTTAGGTGGATGTATAGTTATTCGCCCAACTTATTTCAAAATGGTTTGTTAACCTTTTTGCTTTGGTTTACAATGTCATGTCGAATACTCAGACTCAGCAGCGAAGGGATTACAACTAATTCAGCTTCAATCTTATAGGACAGACATGTTTCAAAGTTCCCTTGTTTTATTTTCTGGGAACAATGGAATAGATCTGTAGATAATGGAAGTTAAATGGTCTGACATGAAGTTTTATTTAGTTTAGCGGTATGTGCTGTTTGGAGTCATATACCATAATATATATATATATATCCAAAAATAAATCTAAAATATTTTCACCTCAGATTTCAGTAACTGGCATAAAATTTGTTAGACACTTCTGTTTCTGTATTAGGTTTAATCCCTAGCCATCTGTTTAAAGATTGCAGTCATATACATAGCCAGACTAATTCTTGAAACATTTGAATACTCCCTCATGCTTTCTCTGTTATTTGAAAGTTGCATTGGGCCAAACTGGACTTTCTTTTTTGTGCTTGTTACAATGAAACTTCTAGCACGTTTGTTAGTAAAATCCCACACCACTGAAATGCCTGAGCCAGTTGGGTTTGGAGCTCAGGCCTTGTTTCCCCCAAGGCCCGCCTGGGTTGATCAGAAATGCATTGTTTGTCTCATTGCTTCAATATGTCCACAACAACGATGGTGTATCTGATAGACTGCATAGTCTGTTTCCTTGGGGAGCTGTATACCATACGGTGACTAAATTTTTCTGTCTCAATTCATTGTTTCCAAAAACTTACTCTCAAATATTTATCATCCTATCAGTTCGTAAATAATGTAACCATTGAAACAATACATCAGCCTCTAGTTGATCCTCTGCAAGTAGCCATTGAAATAATCAAATGCTGTGTGAACAGGAATGGAAAGCATTACCTTGAAGAGAAGCTTTAAGATAGGAATTTATTGACATTTACAAAAAAAAAAATAGGTTTACAGAAGACACTATTCAAATAAAATGTGTACACTCTTTGCCTGATGCTATGGGGTACATGATTTTAAAAACAAACAGATAAACAAAAAACTCCCATAGACCAGCAGCCATTAGCATAGAAATAATGGACTTTAAGGATGGCACCTGTAAGCAGATGTTCCACTTTAGAGATATTCCCGCCCGCGTCTCACCAGGATTCCTGAGCAGGGAAGCCCGTTACCAGTGTGGTCCAAGGTGGTTCTCACCAAGACGGTGAGGTTCTCAGTGCCCAAACCCTGGGGCCCTCACCAAGCTTCGCCAGTCTCCTTTGCCTCCAGCGAATGCACAGCCTTGTGTGTTACATGCCTGCTTATGTCCAGTCTTAGAGTTTATCGGCTGAAAGGTTTACAAAACTGAATCCGGTTGAATCTCCGTGTAGCGTTCAACTTTAAAGGGTCAACACATCTGTCGGCATTTTGCACACTTATGTATTATTACGATACAGCATATTACTTTATGGTAATTTTATTTTTACATATAACTACCTCCATAAATTTGATGAAATGGCAGCAGCGTGTTAAAGTGTATTGTTCAGAAAAGCAAAGTTTGAAACTTTCTGAAACGTTATGCCATGGCGTTCTGCGTGTGTGTCTGCGATTGCCTGTGTGGACTCGTGACTTTCCCATTGCCATGGCTTGCTCTTGCTGCATTTGGCTTTCAGATGTAACCCTGTCTTCTCCTTCCTCCCCCACGAAAGAGCACTTGATTTTGCTATGAATGAACAGAAGTTCAAAATTTCTTGTGTCCCCCTGGCCCATCCCTGCTAAAAGTTCTCTGGCGAAGAGCCAATTGGTAAATAAGATGTAGCAAGCTATTTACTCCTATGGGAGTCTGATCTGAATTCTAGGTTGTCAGTAACAGAAGACACATGAGACGTTTGGACTGCCGATCTTGAAGCACTTTGGGCCTCTCTGCCTTCACTCGCATGCTACCATATCGAGCCCAGACTTCACTTTAATTAAAAGAGCTGTGCTGTGAATCCCACAACTTCTGTTAAATAATTTGTATTCCATTATATATATTTTGCACATCTCAGGGGACCATAATGTGCATCTGAAGGGGAGGGGTGCCATCAAATAGAACAAATAGAGGAGGTGAAAAGGAACTGGCTGGGTAAAAATAACCAAGTACTGCTTCTCTGATGTTGGGAAGCTCAAGTTCAGGAAGCATACATTGAAAGTTAATCTGGACTAACAATGATCTGAACACCAGCTGTTCCAAAATCTCTCTTTTTCATAACCCAACCAGCATTTCTAAAATGTAAATTCAAATTATATTGCAGTCACCATGGGGAGAAGAAACCTGTTTAGTGGAAGCGGAAGCATTGTTCCTTTTTTTAGATTGGCACAGCTTTGTAAAATTCTACCCAGGATAAACCACTTACCACCAAGTGTACTTGAAAATAAAGTTTTTAGCTTAAATTATAGGCACGTCGCTCACAATACAATAGGGATCATTTTTTGAAAGTCTTGCCATTTACAATACATGGGCAGTATTTGGAGCTTGATTTAAAAACCCAACAACCAGTAATGACTTTGCATAGTTCATTTTGGGATCTCAAAGTGCTTCCAAAGCATTCGGATTCACAAACAGTTAAACAAAGCAAGTCATACTTGTGATATATCCATACTTGAAAAGAATTAAACAGAAGGAGTGACTTAAGATTACCTAGAAACACAGTGGCAGCTATCAATGACCTATTTTCTATCTGTTTGGTAGATCATGAGAAATCAATAAATACAATGCTATTTTTCTGATGTGTGCTAATAAAGTCAAAGAAAACAAATACAACTTTACACCTTTGTCCATGTTCATTCGAAAATTCCAGGGTGTTTGGAATTTTACACCTTAGCACACTTTACTGGTATCGATTTATGAAGTGGGGGGTTAAAAAATCCACCCAAATGCCCTTCAGTCCCAGGCAGATCTGGACATCCACCCTGTTTACAGTTTCCTACTGGGGTTCTATAATTCCTGTGCTAAAATGCCATCTTCCAGGAACATGACTGCTCCTGGGGGTGGAAGGTGCTGAAACAGAAATTTTAATTAAAAACTTTTATCAAGTACTCTTCACAGTGCTCCTGAGCACAACAGAAATTATCTAGAATATATTGAGCCCTACTCTGGAGGATCTAGATTTCTGAGGGAGCTGATCCAGTACCACGTGTCTTCTTAAATTAGGAGACTGTAAGATCCTTGGCAGGGATCTTCTCCGTTGCGCAGACCAGTCCCAGAGCCCACTCCCAGTGTGCGGTCAGACTTCAGTGGACCCACGCAGAAGGGACCATGTCTCCCCGCTGCCGCCTGGACTGTCCTGGCCATTGTCAAGGCCACCCAGGACTCTTCCGCCCCTGAGTGGCTCTCCTGCACGTGTTTAGGGCCTGGGGAGGTTCTAACACAGGAAACATGAATGCAAAATACATGCGAAACCTTGTTTTGCTTTGGGTTCATAAAATATGGGCAGGAAAGAGATTACTATCGGTCTGAGCTTTGCCAAGTGAGATAAAAGAATCAGCTGTCACCCCATCCCTCTCCCAGAAGGTTTTATAGAGTTAAGGATACATCCAATATTTTCCCCATAGAGTTTTTATTTAGGAGACGTTTCATAAATTACATACGTGAAAAAAATTTTCATTATTAGATTTCCGTGTGTGTTTCAAACAGATATTGGCACCTCCCTCGTAGAGTCGATCTCTGCCTCTCTTGCAGCGTCCCAGAAAGATTCCCAGTGGCGGCTCCCCTAGCACACGTCGTCACCGTCGTTCTGCGACTTACAGGTGATGCTCTACAAGATTCACAATTCTGCAAGGCTCAAGGGGGACTAAACTTTCTTACGATTGTATATTACCAGGGACACAGGGCTTTAATGGCTAATTGTTGGCTTTAAATGTGGACACACGCACAGCCCGTGCCAACAAGAGAAAGCGGTGTTTCTAAGTGAGGCAGTGACGGCTCTGGACGGTTAGAAGTGTGAGATGAGAGGCGTGGCTGTCCACGGGCAGCCGCCTGCCTCCCTGTCCAGAGGCTGACCTCGGTACCCCCGTGCCCTTGCTCCCACCAAAAAGAGGTGTCCAATCTGAGACTTGAGATCTCCTCCAGCATCAGTGCTCTGCAGTTCCAGGAAATCAATCACGAAGGACACACTCAGCAGCGCCTCCCCTTCCTTTCCCGCAAGGTCCTCCGTCCCGTCCCCCACCCCGATACCAGCACACTTCCCACATCGGAAGGGCAGAACACTGCAGCACTGGGCACACACGCTGGGTTAGGAATAGGGCTGCCCTACGGTCACCCTCATGGAAGTATTGACAGCTGCAAGTTAAAGTCCTTAGAGCAGTTGACATAGATACTACGTTCTAGAAGAGAATTAAATTTAAACGTCAAGTTTGAAGGGATCATAATTCTGCAGGTATCTTTCTCTGAGTGACTGAATGTGACTATTGCATTAGGGTAAATGAATTAAGAAGTGCAAGTGGGATTTACTGTATGTTAGAAAGGAGTTTTGCAGCCAAGACTGCCTTGAATAAAATGTGTTTGCACTGAAAAAAAAATTTTAAATTACTTGGTCTCTGGTTGCTGTAAAGGTCATCCAAGATGGATGTTCTGTTTATATTGTATAGTATTTCATATGAAATAATTACAGTTCATGAAATGTCTTCCCTAATGTTACTGATTTATAACAGCACATTTGTAACATGGTTTTTATCGTGTCAGTGTACCATATTGTAAATGATGATTACTTGTCATGCTTAGTATAATAACTTAAAAGAAAAAAAAGGACAGGGATTTTTGTAAGTCTATATTTGAAAGTCCCTCCATATGGTAATATTGTGTTCATGTTGTTTATGTAGTGTTGTGTGAAATATCCATTTTGGATTGTGTTACTTTTTAAGATATTAAATAACATTTGGTTATATGTCTAAGTGGATTTTTTTTTGGTACTTCAGAGAAACCTATTTTAGGTGAGGTCAGTTTATTTCTGTCATCAGTTAATAGGATTTCATAACAAATTTTGATTGCACAGTCTTTATTATTGGAGCTTCTGAGTTGAAACAACTAAAAATGGAAGTTTCCGATCAAAATTCTTTTTCCGGCAATGTTGGGGGAAAAAAGCACATTTTTAGCTAACTGTTTGAATTTAAAATGGAGTGACGGTTAGAGATGCATATAATTTTCTGTATGAAATTATAAAGTAATGTGGTTAATTTGGGGGCTCCTTTTCATTAGCACTCATATCACAGCTTTCGTCCCCAAGTGGATGTGATGCTGTCCC